AGCTCTTTTATTTGTTGTAATAGCCATGGGAAATAAAGAAAAACTAATGAGTTCACTTTGACAGCTGGGCCCATTTGAATCAGATATTTTGATTGCTATGGTTGAACGCAGCCACTTGGATGAGCTCTGTTGTGTGCTGTTGAATCAATTGTGACTTATAGTGGGCCTACAGGATAAAGGAGAATAGCCCATAAGGTTTCCTAGGCTGTCATCTTCACAGAATTTCACTGCCATATTTCTCCTGAGGAGTGGCTGCTAGGTTCAAACCACTGACCTTTTGGTCACCAGGGCTCCTTGAGGTGAACTCTACAGAAAAGGCAAATCCAAAGAAGGCAGAGCCCCTCCTGAATTTCACCTGGAGCAAAGGGTAGAGGTAGAGACGGCATCGAGCGGCTTATGGATTCTGAGCAAAAGCGCGATGGGAGTTTATTTACAAACAAGTCAGAGCACCAGGGTCCACGCAGGTTCTGGCCAGGAAGGTGGCAGAGGAGAGTCGCAACATCCATCAATACCAGGACCTTCTCCAGCCAGGCACCTGCTAGAGGGACCAAGAATCTGGCAGGTTCAGGGTGTGGGAGCATGAGGGCCCAAGTCTTTGTCAGATATCTGAAGTCACAAGTCATGGTCCCATACCAGAAGGAGAAACTGCGTTTAGTCCTGAAGAGTGGACTCTGAGGAGCCTGGACATGGGGGCATTTTTCCGAGGCTCTGCCCTCACCTGTGGCTAGTTTGTGCCTGGCGGCAGCAGAAAACACTATAAATCCATCCAACCCAGTCCTGGAGATGGGCATGCACATCAGACAGGTGGCTCTCCCAGTTTGCTGGTGGCGCTTGTGATTCGCTTGTTCTCTCGAAGATTTCGGAGGCGAGCGCTGAGGCTGCTGATCTCTTCCACATACGCCTGGGGCACCCACCCCTTCTCACCGTCAGCCAGGCGGACGCCTTCCAGCCATCCTAGTGGCACACAGGCCAGGGGCAGCATCAGTGACATCAATAAGGCATTAGGCCCCGGCCTGGGAGTAAATGCCTCAGCCCTGATGCAAGCCTTGTCTGCACCCCCGGGGCCTAAGTGACATCATCTCAGCATCTCTCAGCTCCAGTAAGGACCTTGCCTCCAGCAGTCCCATAGATGAAGATCTGACCTGTTTTTCCTGACGTCCTCTGAAAAGGGTATTTCCCACTGTCCCCAGTCACTCACCAGTCAACACTTTCACAAACGGGAAATTCCTCCTCCCGTCTAACCTGATTCCCATGTGCTGATCAACACTTAGGTAACTTTTCCTGTGACATCTTAGCCATCTTGCTACCTCCTACCCACCCGAGTCCCATGTGGGAGGCCTTCATAGGATCCCCCCCTCTCACCGTCACTAGTCTGGGTCCTCACTGCTAGGATGTCGGTCTTCTCCAGGGTCAGCTCGTCTGGCTGGAGTGCCTTGTATGTCCTGACACACTGAACCTGGGGGTGGTCTGACAACCAAGGCAGGGTCAGGGTCCTGGAAGCAGGATGGAGTAGGGTGGGGCAGGAGGAGGAAGGAAGGGGGAAGGAGGATGACCTCTGCTGCCTCTTCCCCTGCCCCCTGCCATGCCACAGGCCCACACTGGCACACTCTGCCTAACTGGTCATTCCTCTCCTCTCCCACTCTGGACAGAGCCCTGCAGAATCCAGGTCCTCCCACATCCGTTACTGCTTCTGTGCTGGGGGCTTGCATGCCCCCAGCTTCATCCCAGACCTTGCTCCTGACCTCCAGAAGCCAACCTCCATCTGTCCCCAGATGTTCCACAAAAGAGAAGGGCTCATTCCTCCTCCCTCTGCTACCACTCTGGTACTCTCTCCAACTCATCCCTTTCAAATGCGATTCGGGCCTTGTCACTCCCTGTTTAAAATCCTCCACGGCTTCCCACTCCACTTCAAATCCTATCTCCCCAGGATCAAAGTTCTCCCAACTCCCCAAACTCCCACCCCCACCCCCCAGCTGCCAGGAGTGCTCTTCCCAGCATTTTTCACAACTGCCCCTCCTCAAATTTCACTTCTCAGACCCTTCCAGAACCACCTCTTGGGAATGAGGCCCTTGGTTTCTAGCCCAAATGGGCCTCCTAACTCCAGTTAAAGAATTCACCCCCTTCTAGGCCCTCAACTCCTACTACCAAACTAGGGAGGCTAGATGCATCCAGAAAGCACAGAATTTGGGGTCAGACCTGGCTTGAATCCCAGCTCTGCCACCTACTGGCTGTGTGACTTTAGGCAAGTCACTTAACCTTTCTGAGCTTCAGTTTTGCCAGATATGGAAAATGAGAAAAAAATGAGCCTACCTAACAGGGCACCCGTCAGGATAAAATAAAATCCATGTATATACGGACTCCCTAGCACTGGGCATGACATGAGGCAGATGCTTAGTACAAAAGAGTTCCCATCTTTGTTCTTTACAACCTAAAGCTCAGATCTAACTCTCCTGTTCAAAACACTTCAATAGCTCAGTAAGCTCCCCAAACCAAGCCCATTGCCATTGAGTTGAATTCCAACTCATAGTGACCCTAGAGGACAAGAGTAGACCTGTCCAATAAGGTTTCCAAGGCTGGGATCTTTATGGAAACTGAGTGACACATTTTGTTTTCCTATGGAGCAGCTGGTGGATTTGAACTGCCAACCTTTTGAATAGTTGTTGAATGTTTTAAACAATGCACCACCAGAGTTCCTTAAACTAAGAAACTAAGCGCACTGCCATCAAGTTGAAGCCATCCTATGTTATTGTTGCAAAGTGCCATCAAGTCAGTTTTGACTCATAGAGGCCCTCGATAGGATTTCCGAGGAGTGAGTAATGGGTTTGAGCCACAGGCCTTTTAGTTAGTAGTCCAGTGTTTATTCTACAGTGCCGCATCAGAACTCCAGTCATGCTATAGGGCAGAGCAGGGATTCTGCCGCAGGTTCCTCCTGAGGAGCAGCTGATGGGTTTGAACCACTGACCTTGCAGTTAGTAGTCCAATGCTTAATCTACTACACCACCAGGGCTCCTTATTGCCCATCATCTCCAGGCCCTCTAATCGGACTATCCTAGGGCTAGGCACCCTCACTGCCCACAGGAAGGAGAAGCCTCTACTCCTGCCACCAGCACCACCCTCCTCATGCTGGTTCCTGTCCTCTTTGTAACTGATACAAAGATGGAGAGAGACCTAGGCTCCAGTGCCAGCTGGGCATTTACTAGCTGAGTGACATTGAACAAGTCACTTCACCTCTCTGAATCTGTTTTATAACTTGTGAAATAGACTTTTGTGGAGCTCAAATGGAAGGCTATAAAAGGGCTTTGTAATCTCCAAATTACAAAGTGTACAGGGGGCCAGCTGTCTTATGTAAATCCCTCAGACCCTGCCCAGCTGACCTTTCTCCACACTGACCCTATTACACCCAGACTTAGCAAAGTGGCACCCAGGACTGAAGGAGAGAGAGGGAGCAATGACGTCCCCAGCCCGGGTGATGTGGAGTCTAGGGATGGTTGGCTCTGCCAGGCTGCTACCTTCCCCTTCGCTGATGACCTCATTGTCCTCCTGGGGGCTGGAGGGGCACATGGCTGAGATCCATCGCTGTTTCTCACTCCTGTACGATGAGCAGGGGTGAAGTTGTCACAACAGGCAAAGCAGTTTCCCAGTGCCAGGGCCATGGAGACCAGGGCTAGGAGAATGTCCAGACCCAGGACCCTGGGGCCCACAGTCCTGTTCCCACCGCTGAACATAAGAGACAGCAGACCAGAGCCCCCTGGTGGCCAACTCTGCCTATGTCCTGCCTTACACCACCTCCCTGAAGTTAGAAAAAAAGGGAGGCAGTGATTTTCAGCCAGGAGATGTCCAGAGATCAAGGAGGAGCTACTAAGGCACACACCACTGCTTTGCTACCCCCACCTAGCTGTCTTCCCACTGGCACTGCCAGGGAAGTCTGGGCCCCTGGGAACTAGATCAGTCACTTGGGGTCCTCCCTCCCCAGACCCTCCGCACCCCGAGGCTACTCACTCAGTCCGGGCCCTCAGCAGAAACTGGGACTTGGTGTGCTGCCCATGGAAGAGCTGGAGCAGGAACACGTGTCCAGGGATGCTCTGGAGCTTCAGACTCAGGTCCTTCACCTGCAGCTCGGCCATCTTGGCATGTACGAAAACAGCAAACTTCCCCAGTCTGGAGCATCAGCAGAGAGGAGGTCAGCCTGGCCCGTGTCCGGACCCTCAGCCCCCACCCTCAGGATAAGGTGAGTCTGACTGGAAGGAAGGAAGCTGAGTTGTCTGTCCCTCTGGCACCTTTTCCAGGGAAACTTGGCTGCTCAGGGCACTGGTCTCTGTGGTGGCCAGCCAAGTCTCCAAAAAGAATTGGGAGCTCTATTCTGCCAATTCCCTGACAGACGTGGAAGGTGGTGGAACCACTCTCTGGCTCCAGGCATACTTTCAACTTCCCTCTGAATCTCTCTCTCCCCCCAAACTAGTGCTAAACAGCTACCTGGACCACTCTACTGGATAAGGCTTTGTTGCAGCTTAGTATTTGTCTCCCTAACTTGTATATAAACTCCATGAAGGATGAACTTGGTCTTGCTTGCCTCTGTATCCCACTGTCTGACACTGGTTGGTCTACATGTGGGCTCAACAAGCACTTATGGGACAGATGGGTTGATGAACATATTTCACAGGTTCCTTCTTCACAGCAGAACTCAGTATTTCCCTTCTTTATTCTCCATATCAGGAAAAGACCCCATCATGTTGCCCAAGATGAAACACAGTTGCCATGCTTATCTCTTCCCTCCTCCTGACCCCATACTCAATCAATAGCCACATGCTATTTACCTCCTTTTTGTTCCTGAAATCCATTTATCCCAAGTCTCCTTCTACTTCTGGAACTGAACACTTCATCTACTCTCACCAGGAAAACAGCAAGAGCCTTTAGTCTCTTCCACTCCAATTCATCCTCCAAACAAGCCTCTGCTTAACTCTCTATGACTTCCTACCACCCTCAGACTAAGTCCAAATTGCTCTATCATGACCTGCAGCATTCCAACTTCCCTTCCTATATTTCCTCTCTACATACTTAGGCCTCATCATTTCTCAATCATGCTCTGTTCGTATATCCTATCACGATCTTGCTATACCCCTCAACTACCTTCTCTACCTGAAAAACTCCTACTCATCCTTCAAAACCCAGTGCATATATTCCTCCTCTATAAACTTTGACTAATTCTTACTCTACACTAGGGGCTGCCACAGTACCATTATATCCTTCCATCCCTGATCATGTGGCAATCAGAATGTGTGTTCACTGGTCTGAGCGCTCCTGGGCGCAGAATAATAAGTTCTATTCATCTTTATATCTACAGCATCCAGCAGAGAGCCTGGTAGAGAGCAGGGATTCAGTGACAGCATATTGAAATGAATAAATCAGAAATGAAGTCTTCCCATAGCATAAGGTGTCCTCATCCCATCCAGGAAGTCTCTTCCCTCATCCCTCACTTATAATAATCATAGTTAGCACTGAGTGTGTAGTGCTGTAGGATAAGCACAAGACTGCTAACCACAGAATTAGTTCAACACACTAGTCACTTCTTGGAAACCCCATATGGGATTGCTATGAGTCGGAACCAGGACTTAACAACAACAACACTGAATGAGTTCTCACGATAAGCTCTTTTCTTGTGTTACTATCATAAGGAATTTCTCAGTAGTCTTATGTAGTAAGCTCTATTTTACAGGTGGAAAACAGGATAGTGCAGTGGTTAAAAGTCTGGGATCAGGCCTCAGGTACACCTAGTCTGTTTCTGGTTCCTCTTCCTACTAGCTCTGTGATCTTGAGAATAACAAGGAACCTACTTACCAGACAGGTGTTTGGAAGATTAAAGGAAATCATCCATACATCATGCCTGACACAAAATAGGTGTTCAATAAATGCTGGCCATTTTTGTAATTACTCAGGACAGAGCTGTCTCTGAATCTCTGGCTCAAGCTCTAAGCTGAGAGTTTTAAGTTCTCCTAAGACAGGAGCTCTGGTAGCATAGTGGTTACGAGTTGAGCTGCAAATCTCAAGTCAGCAGTTCAAAACTACCAGCAGTTCCACGGGAGAAAGATGACGCTTTCTGCTCCTGTAAAGACTTACAACTTCGGAAACCATATACAGGATCACTATGAATCATAAGTGACTTCATGGCACACCCTTCCCCCCCACACACAAGATCCAGCCCTCGAGTCTCATCTCCAAGCCTCAGGGTATCCTGGCAGCACAGGGTGAGGTTCCTGGGTCCAGTGATAGACTGGTTGTGAGACCATTGGTGGGGAAGAAGAGAGTGTGACTCGGACCCACCTACTCCCCCACCTGCCCCAACTCACTCCTTCCTCCTGGAGAGCAGCAAGCAATCATTGAAGAGGTGTAGGTAGACTGCCTTGCTGGACAGCTTCAGCTTGGCAGGGGGCGCTGCGGGCAGTGGGGCCAGCTCCACCAGCTCCCCATGCCGAACCAGCCAGCGAGCCTGAGAGATCAGCGGGAAGATCTGGGGGTAGGCCAGAGGAGAGGGCAGGTTAGGCCCTGGGGCACCAGAGCAGAGAGCCCAGGACAGGGATGGGAGGGTGTGGGCAGTAAGGAACTGTCCTGTTCCCCCTCGGGGAGGAGAAGCCAAAAGACGGAGTACACACCTTGCCCTCAAAGTGGATCTTCTTGCTGAGGTGAATGAGCTCCTCTGTTCTCTTCATGGACTGCACACTGGCGTTACATTCTTGCACTAGCTGGGGAGACCGTGGATGGATCGGTCACCTGCAGGCCCCAGCCTGGCTCCCTAAGCTCAGCCTCAGATTCCTAGTGGGGGACCAGAGACTGGGAAGGCTGGAGACTCTTATAGAGTCCTAGTGTGGCACAGTAAGATAAGCACTGGACTCCTAACCCCAAGGTCAGTGGTTCAAACCCACCCTATACAGCATCGCTCTGAGTCAGAAGTGACTCGACAGCACTTAACAACAGGGTTCAGGGAGAGGTGCCCTGGTGGTGAAGTAGTTGATTATCTGTCCATACAGTCCCTCCCAGAGTCACAGCTGCTAACTGAAAGGTAGATGGTTTGAACCCATCAGCTACTGTGAGGGAGAAAGACATAATAGTCTGCTTCTGTAAATTTCACAGTCTTGGAAACGCTAATTGTATTAGCAACAGTTCTACTCTATCGTATTGGGTCATCATGAGTCCAAGTTGATTCAATAGCAACTGGTTTGGGGAGGCTCATCCCTGCCAAGCTCACCTCTTTAAGTGCGTTGAAGGCCTTGGTGGCCATGTCTTCATCTTCAGAGCCCTGTGCCGTCCGCTTCAGAATGTTCTGGAGGGTGGGGTCAGCACAATGAAGCAGGATGAGTCCTTCCAATGACCTTACCCACCAAGGATTTCCAGAAGGGGCTATGGGGATCGCAATAACACCTCGTTGACTCATCCCTCACCCACAACCTGGTGCCCACTAGGTACCTCTACCAGCATTTTCAGGCGGGTAATCCTCTGGAAGGGCAGTATAAGGAAAGAGGTAAGGGGCAGACGCTGGCACACAGGAGACTCCTCCAGGCGAGCCAGGATGCCAGGGAATTTGGGGTTCTCCAGACTGAAAAATGGGAGGGGTCTAGGGTCACAGGTGGACCCAGGACCCTGACCACTCCTTCATTTCTTCAGGTGCTTACCAGCACCTTCTTTCTGCCCCTCAGAGATGAATGATCCTAGAGGCACACTTCCCTCTCAGGCCCCACTTCCCGAGTCATCTTTCCACATCCAGTCTTTTGCACCTACCCCTACCTGGGACCCCCTGCCTGCCTCCCCCCTCCAGAGTCCCGAGTCCCTACAGCAGACGCTGGTAAGTGCGCTCCTGGTAGGCCTGGTTGGTGACATAGGGCAGGTAGACTCGGCGGAAGGCTGGGCAGTGGTGCAAGACCACATCGCACACACTGAAGCGCAGCACATCTGCCTCCAGACGCTGCTCCAGCTGCTGCAGGAACCTGAGAGGTCAGCGAGTGGTCAGGGGCAGGGCAATGATGCTGGACTGGGAGTTCTGCCAGCCCCAGGCTCAGCCTCTGCCACCAGCCAGGCTAGCCTACTCCCTCACCTCTCGCTGGTGCTCTTGACTTCTGGTAGTTTGGAGAACAACCACTGCTTGTCTTGTGCCCCCAGACACTCACTCAGCTCGGCAGAACCTAAGAAGTGACCCACAGCCACTGACAGACTGTGGATGTATGAGGCCTCGGAGGTGATCAGCTCAAACTTGGCCTGAGAGGAAGATGGAAGCAGGGCTAAAGCAGCCAGATCAGCCCCATCCAAGATGCCTGGCCTCACATCTGCCACCCCCAGGTCCTGGACACCACCTCCTTGGGCACAGCCGCAATCTATCCTGGCTCTTTCTTTAGCCTTATTCCTCTGGATGATTACAACAACTTCAGTTTCATGAGGAACTCATCAGGGGACCCACTGCCCTCACACTGACTGTAGTCCAAGCCCATCTAAAGAACCCCAAAACACAGCTGTGGAATCAGTTCCCACCCAAAGTGACCCTACACAACAGAGTAAAGCTGCTCGTAGGGTTTCCAAGGCTGAAAATCGTTTATCCCTGGAGTGGGTGTAGGTTCCAACCACCAACCTTTTGGTTAGCAACTGAGCATTTTAACCACTGCACCACCATGGCTCCTCAAACCCACTATCAAATAAATACACTGTCATCTAGTCAAGTTCAACTCTTAGGGACCCTCTGTAGGATTTCCTAGACCGTAAATCTTTATGGGAGAAGACAATTTCATCTTTCTCCCGAGGAGCCGCTGGCAGGTTTGAACTGCTGACCCTGTGGTTAGCAGTCCAGTGCTTATCCTACAGAGCCACCAAAGCTTTGGTTGAGGTTGTTGTTAAGTTCTGGCGAGTCGGTTCCGATTCATAGCGACCCTGTATAGTTTCTGAGAAGCAGCTGGTGGGTGTGAATTGCTGACCTTGTGGTTCGCAGTCTAGTGCTGATCCTACAGGGCCCGTCACAAGTCCTCTTAAAGCCTCCTATTCCACCCCTTCTTCTTCTAGTCCCGTACCATCAAGCTCCTGGACAGCTCCTAGTTAGCTCATCTCCAAGCCCCTGCCTCAACTGTGGAACGCCCTTCCATTAGCTCCACCCCACTGCCCCTACCCATGTTCTTGACCCTGCCTGTTCCAGAGCCCACCCTGCCTTTATTCTCCTGATGGCTCTGCCCCTCTTGTGTCCTCGTTTCCACTTGCCTCATCTTGTCAGGTTCTAAAGCCCACCCTCCACTTTGACAGCCCCCGTCAGCCCCGCTCCTTTTATGGCTCCGTTTTCTTCTTTGGTTCCCATTCCCACCTCCTGTAGTTTGCAGGTCCGGAGCCGCAGCTAAGCCTCTGGACCACCGCCCCGCAGTTTCTAGAACTCCTAGCCCTGCCCCCTCTCTGCCCCGCCTCCTCCGGGCAAGAAGATCTCCTCTTGAAGCATTGGGCCCCGCCCCTTGAGGCCCCACCCTACTGGGTCCAAGTGCCCACCTCCTGCAGTTTACAGTCGCGCAAGCTTAGCGTGGCTAGGACGCCGCTGCCGCGCACGTCGGGGATGTCTTGCCACAGCGAGAAGGTGGAGCCGCGCGCCGAGCGCTGCGCCCGGAAGGAGCTGCTGGGGGAGAGATTGGCGCGCGGCGGCCCGGGCCCCTCCTCCGCGCTCTCCGCCTCTTCTCCCGGGCCCTCCTCTTCGCGCTGCTGCCGCCGCAGCTCGCGGGCGCTGGCCACGTCGCTGTATTCCTGGTAGAGGATGGCTGGCGGGGGAGGGGGAGAGCCGAGGTCAGGACACAGTGATTTCAGTCATTCACGCACTCATTCATTCCATAAACACAGAGGACCAACTGCGTGGCAGCGCCTGTACTTGTTAGTGGCTGCGAAGTTGATTCTGACTCATGATAACCCCATGTGTGCAGAATAGAACTGCTCCCTAGGGTTTTCAGAGCCCTGGTGTGGCTCTGTAGGTTAATGCACCAGACCCAAAGGTTCAAACTCACCAGCCGCTCCTTGGAAAGCCTATACAGGGTCGCTATGAGTTAGAACCGACTCAATGGCACTTCACAACAACAACAATAGGGTAAGGCTGAACCGCTCAAAAAACCCATCGCCGGGTTTCTACCCCGAAGTTCTTCTGTGTAGGTTTGAACAGCCAACTTTTTGGCTACCGTGCTTAACAGAATTCCCACATAATCCCTAGTCGTATTCATACCCAACACTCTGCATAAATTTTGACTTCTGTGACCCTGTAGAACTATCCCATAGGGTTTCCAAGGAGTCCTGATGTGGGATAAAGCACTGGACGGCAAAGTTTGAACCACAAGGCCCGCGGTTCAAACTCACCAGCTGCTCCTTGGAAACCTTATGCAGGGTCACTGAGTCTAGAACCGACTAGACAACACTAACACAGCAATAACAATTTTTATTGAAGCTTACTGCCACATCTTTCTCCCATAGAGCAGCTAGTGGGTCCCTGTGAGTTAGCAGCTAAGCACTTAACCACTGCGCTGCGGATCCACACATGATCCCTACTTCCTCTGGCAATTCAAACCCCAGTTTCCCAATTCCACAATTCCCCCCAGCCCTTTCATCCATGCCCCCCCACCCTCTGTTACTACCCCCTGCCACGTACAGTTAAGGAGGAACCGAGATTGGCGCCTCTCGCTGGAGCACCTATAGCCCAGAGCCGGCTCTTCCTGTAAATCCAACCTGGGAAAAAGACTTCATTAGGGCGCTTTTCGCCTGACCAGCTTGGGCCCTGAACCCCAGAGTGAGGTGGTACCTGGGCTCAGACCAGACGCCGGGGCCCTCACTAGGGTCAGCTGGGGCTGGCAGCACCATGCCATTGACACCACGAGACTCCCTTGCAGACACTTTCCCTGAGGAGGGCGAGAACTGAGGGTTGGTGGTCTGTAGAGAGTGGCATTGTGCACAGGGGTGCCACACCCCACTGACCAGGTACCCCACATGCTGCCCTCTGGGTTACTCAGGTCCCCAAAGGAAGAGCTGGTACCTTCCCGGGCTAGGCAGGTGCTGGGCCCAGCAGCCAGAGCTCTGGTGGCTGAATTCCGCCCTAAGCGAAGGGAAGAGTGCAGCCGATTCATGAGCTCAGAGGCTGAGAAGCGCCTCCGCTCAGGCCCCTCGAGGCCCAGTCTGGTGGGCCCGGACAGCTCCAGTGGCCTAGACTCCTCTGGACCCAGAGCCTGCGCCCTTTCATCCTGGCCAGGCTCCAGGAAGACAGCATGGGCCTCGGTGCTGGAGGTCTCTTCACGCTGATAAACCCGCATCTTGCGCCCTGCAGTGGGTGAGGGCCGGGACACAGCTGGCACCCATTGGGGTCTCTCCCAAGCTCCTCCCTGCTGCTGCCCTGTGGTCTGAGCATCTGAGGGCGATTGGGGCACTCTGTCCAAGGGAAAGGCCAATGTTTTGGGGGTTTGCCTGTATCAGGGTATACAAGAGGAGTGGAAAGAAAGAGCACAGTGCCCAGACTACAGTGGGCAGAGAGGCCAGAGTGCTAGGAAGCCCCTCACTGTCTAACCTTAGACAAATCACTCACCTTTCCTGAGCCCGAGTTCCCTGATTATTAAAATCTACCACTTATCCTGATGGTTTGGGAATTCTGTGACTTAAAGTGCCCTAGAAGAGCCACCCAACCCTTCCCCATCTGCCCCACTGTTCCCCACCAGAATGACTCACAGGCTGACTTCTTCTCCGAGCCATGGCTGGCCCGGCGCTGTGGTTGTAGGTGCTGAGGATTCCAGGGTCCCTCTAGAGCTGGGGGCTGGGCACTGGGACAGTGAGGCCAGCTGCCAGCCCTGCTGGGTCGCATCCCCCCACTGGGGGAGATCTCGGTGTCTGGACCTTCTGGAGACAGTGGCCATAGCAGTCCTTGGAGAGGGGCAGGGGTCCCCAAGGACCATCGGCTACCGGGAGCCTGCAACTCCTCTGAAGCAACAGGAAAGAGATCCAGACACACAGGGCTTGGGGGCTGCAGAGTGGGCAGCTCCACAAAGGACAGACTTTCCTGCTGACACACAGCCACTGGGCGGCGAGGAGGGCGAGGTGGCTCAGCAAGGTGGGGTTGGAGGGTGGCAGGTGGCCCACAATCCATTCCTCCTTTGCTCTGCCACCCACCTGGTCCTGCAGGGGAAAGAGTATCAGAGCCAGACACAGGACAGCAGAGCTGGCCAGACAGCCACCATGTCCTGGAGGCTTGGACATGGCCTGTGTACACATGTGTCTACACATCTGTGCAGGCACATCCACACACCTAATTACATAGTAATAGCTAATACTTACTGGGAACTGAGTGACATGCCAAGTGCTTTATACATACTACCTCACTGAATCCCTATTAACAATCCTATGGCCAGATGCTGTCATTATTCCCATTTTGTAGTTGAGAAAAGTAAGGTTCAGAAAGTTTGTTATTTGGTAAAAAGCCAGGATTCAAAGCCAGACAGTCTAGTTCCTCACCTCCACACTGCACCTATGATTCTCATGTTCTCTAACAAATACTGACAGACGATCAGAGGCAAACATTGTCAGATAAAAATCCATGTTTTATATGTTTTCTCCCAAGCACACACACACACACTGACATTATACACTATCATAGATGGTATATGTTTTCTCCCAAGTGTGCACACACACACACACACTGACATTATACACTATCATAGATGGTATATGTTTTCTCCCAAGTGTGCACACACACACACTGACATATACACTATCATAGATGGACTCAGACTTTTTAAATTCACAGATTCACACATTCACACCACTGCTCCTTGGACACCCTATGCAGGGTCACTATGAGTTGGAACCGACTGGACGGCACTTAACAACATGAATATTCATACAGAGATACTTACTCACAAACACATGCTGACCCATTAGATATTTACACATCCACTCACGCGTCCTTACACACTGGACTGCAGACACAAACATAAAGGTCCAGAAGACCTTGCTTCACTCTGACCCGGGAGTCCCCCACTTCTCCCACCCACCTCCCGCCCCACCCATCATATGCTCAAAGTTGCAGCTTTCAGCACTCATGGTGCCCACACCCATGCCAAGCTGGCTGGGAGAGTCACAGACTGGCAGGCGGGCCACCACCCAGATCAGGCTAGGCTCTCCCAGGAGAAGGGCAGGGAGGTGCTCCAGTCCCCCAGTGTGGAGTAAGAGGAGGGTTCTTCCCCATCTTAACTCCTAGCACTAAGACCCTGCCAGGCTGAAGGGGTCATCTCTGGATAGAAAGTCATCCCTGGAGGAGAGAGACTGCCGGAGCCTCAAGACAGACTTCCTCATGATGTGAGGGATCTGAGCCCCATAGGCCTTGCCCAACGGCCCTCCACTGACTACCCTCTGACAGCTCCTCACCTCTCCAGCCGGAGGCCCTCTGCTGATGCTGTTCAGTTGCTGGGGGAAGCCCAGCTGGCTGGGGGAGATCCCACCCAGACAAAGAGTTTGATTCATCAAACCCTGTGGTGAGGCAAGCAGGAGGGAAGGAGGGAGGGAGCGGGTGGCGGGCTGGGCGGGGGCCTGCCCTAGCCTGGCCTGGCTGTGGGCAGGCTTAGCAGCAAGGACCCCCCAGAGTCAAGGGGCAGTGCCCAGCCTGACACAGCTAGCAAACCCAGGAGAAAGAGACCAGAGCAATGGAAACTCTTTTGAAAGCAACTCAGAAACGGAGACCCCAAAACAGTAAAAAAACAGAAAAACCACAGACACCAAGACACTCAGGGACTCAGAGATGGAAACACAGAAAGACACTGACAATTTCCAACAGACCAAATACTCAGAGACAGCGCAAAATATGAAAGCAAGAGAAAACTAGAGAGACAAATGGACAATTATTTCCTGCCCCCAGGGGCTGCCAGTCTAGTTGTTGTTAAGTGCAATCAAGTTGGTTCCAAATCATAGTGACCCTGTATAGGTTTCCAAGGAG